CCCAACCCCCCCCCCCCCCCCCCAAAAAAAAAGGCATGTTGGGCAGAAAACATTTCCAGCATACTCCCATCATGAAAGACATATAAGCAAATGTCAGGTAAAATAAGACATCTGTTAGAAGGACGGAATGGTATTGAAAATTCCCAGGGTCGGCTTGGGTTACCCAAGTGTTTTCTTCCCTTATCTCTGACTGCTTTAAATAATATAAAAATGCAGACTTGGCTGAGGTCCCAGCTCATCAGAGCACTTAAACATGCCCTTGACTGTAAAAATGTGCAAGGCTTACTGATGAGGAAGGGAAGAAGAAAGAAGTAGATCTGAAACTTTAAGATTAGTTTAGTGTGAACAAAGATGGGAATTTTATGTTGAGTACTGGTGTTTAGATAACTGTTTCTGAAAAATCTAACTGCAAATTTCGGCACTACCTTATCAATGCAATAATGATTACTTGGTTTTCTGCTGATCTATTAATGCAGCTAGTGCAAACATATTTCTAGACTAAGCAGACTAGGTCTAAACATTTTTAAATTAACTTATATTTTGTATTCATAAAATAAGAAAAATAACTCAGCATAACTGAATTTAATAATCTGTAAGGATCATATTTTTATGTTTATCTAAAATAATGTGTAAACCAAGAATTCAGGCAGTAACCGCGCTCAGAGCACAGAAGCATGTTCAACTTCCTGCTAACCATCATGCTACATGAAGTCACCGAGACCTCAGGGTACACGGCACTGCAACAGATTTTGCATAAGGAGTAAAAGGACACAGGGTATATGTCACCTTGCAGAATGCCTATCTACAAGTTCCATATTTTGGCTGATTTCTTTACCTCATCGTAGCTGTGACTGTGCAAGGGAATGAGGTTTATGGTGACAGGACAAATATGGAGAGCAAAAAAGCCAGAACCCCTGAAGATGGAACTAATTACCACTAGAAGCATGTAGTGGTACTATTCCTGAAACAATTCTAATAGCAAAAGGACACATTTCCAATATTTTTTGTGCCTGTTATCTAATTTTTTTATGACCACATGGCATATGAAAATATTATGTCTTCATAGAGATATAGATACAGCTACTGTAGTTAAGGAGTGGTGCTGAAAGTTAAGCACCTGAAGAGATGTATACAACCAGAATACGGTTGTGGCGCCCCTGTCAAAGCTCAGGGAAAAACAGGGAGTGTTAAAGCTGGCAGAATCTTCTGATGTGCAGTAGGTTCCTGTTCCTTTTGGGACTCTACATAAAAAATTAATACTAAAAGCTGTGTTTTTCTTTTAATTCAGAGACCAGTCATGTTAGCTATCATAAGCTCCTATTAAGCTACGTATGTATTTGTATTAGACAATGCCCCACAATACCTGCAATAGAAAAGCGTAAGAGATGGCTCATCCTCACATACTGTGCAACTATAAAAAAAAATCAGAGAAAGCAAAATGATTGAACTAAAAAGTATTATGCTATCTAAAAGAGTATACTGACCCCTTTCCAACAGAGTAGTGAGCTGATTGATAAGAAAAACACAACCTCTTTATCCCAATAAAATTAATATGTGCAGTTGTATCTGCTAGCGCTGTGAGGGGTGAATTTTCTAGTCTGTTTTAAAGCTCTGCTCATGCTGGCCTCCCGTTACAGTTGTCCACTATACAATCAGCAGATGCTTATTACTAACTATGAGCTTGCTTTCTTGCCTCTGCCACCTTTGGGGAATGCATTTAATTTATCTCCATTTAGGGCCTGTTCACCAGTACATGCCAAGTGTTAGATGTTAATGTCCTTCAGATGTCAGTCTGTGTAAAAGGGGCAATCTTTGAACCTTCCATTTGCTCTAGCTCTTCAAGGAAATTACTAAAATCAGCTGCTAGTCAAGCTGATGAGACCAGGGAATAGAAGAAAAATGTGCTGAATATTCTAATACTATTCTAAATTGTAATGTTTCCCCTGAGTTGAGAATGGCCTTAGAAATCAATTTTTTAACATTCATTTATGGTTTCCATTGTGGGGAAAAGTGTGGTCATAGCAGACCCTTAGAAGTTTCCTACTGTCTTTTCTCACTTTAGAGAGCAGACATTCCCTTTGCAGGAAGAGCTGCATGCATTTTCCCCATACAAAGTTCTTCAGCTCTCTGTGAATCAGAGAATGGTGTTTTTCAGTATTTTACCTCTGTCCACTTTCTTGTATTAATAAATTGACTTATTTTTCTTCAAACAGAAAACATGTAATAGCAATGCAAAGGAGATCGAAGAAAGGCATGAAAGCATGGTTCTCCTAAACAGAGGGTTGGCTTACCAATTTTTGTCACATCAGGAGAACCTTTCCGTTTGTGCCAACTGAGATTCCCAGACTGCAGTAGCAGGCATCACATCCAAGTGATACAAGGGTGCTCTGAAAAGTTAAATGACTCCTTCCTCTGCACAAGGCCAAGAAGAACAGGGTGCTCTTATACCTTCATAAACCTCCACCCTGCTGGGGCCCACTGTTACCACATTCTTAAACCCCCTTCCAGATTTGTAGCTGTCTCCATCTTCATGTTAATCCTTCTGAGAGTGAGCTCTATCTGCTCCTTCTTTTTATCACCACGAGGCTCCCATTGCCACGGGGGGGATGAAAATGTTAAATACTCCAATACTTAAACTTTTCATCTCTATTCTCTTGGGTTTGACTGGTTTTTAGAACTGTGATCTTTAAAATATATTAAATAATTTTCTTCCATTTTGTCCTACTTTAACCATGGATGATGTAAAACTTACCATCAACAAAACTTGGAAATGAGGACACTTTCTTTGTCTGTTGAGAAATAAAAATGGTATAGCTGTAACAAATAATTTTCACAAACTGAAATGAATTCATATTATATTTAAGCAGCTGACCATTGTTTTTAAAAAATCTAATTTCTCTGTATAACTTCTGCATAGCCACTATTTAGCACAGTGAAACACATTACATCACAGTAATTAACCCAAACTAACTGTTACATAGTGCTGTTTACCTGGAATCTCAAAGCATTTTAAGCAGATCCCACCACACTAAAAAAAATAAGGGAGGGTGGGATGAGAACATAAAAATGAGCTGGGAAATCAGCTGTCAAATGGACACTAGAAACTAGTGATTCCCAGTCCAATAGCTTGTCCATTAGATCACATTGTCTATTAATGATATCCCAAATTTCCAACTAAGAATATTTAACAATATTTTACAAAGCAAGATTCTGGGTCAGTGAGCAAAAAGAACCGTGTCCCTGATTGCACAGTACATAGCATTACACTTAATCGCAGCAAGGGCCACAACAGTGCTCCTTTTATGCTACCGTACCTATTCTCAATAAACAGATAGGGTCCTTCTGTTTGCTTGTTTTTTGCCAGCCTCCTCAGGTGTTCCTGTTTCCACCAGAGAGGTCAATTTCTCCATTATGTGAAAAGGCTCTAGAAACGTGCCTCTTCATTAATGTAACAGGCTAAAGGTTAAATATGTTCTATGTTTTTGAGATAACAGACTTCTGCTTTTAGGTTTCAACTTCATTTCATTGTGTCACCCCTCAAGCATAACCTCGTTCTGAATTCTTAGATGGTGTCTTTGCTCCAGTCTTCAGCGACAAGAGCAGGTCTGCCTATCGCTGCGTCTTCATCACAGCTGAATGAGCCAGGACACATCTTACCACAGAGGCCACTCAAAAAGATATGGATCATTTGAGCCCTCAGCACTGAATGATGTGCTTGATTTTAGGGGTTATTTAAAGAGAATTATTCCTGTGGGAATTAGTAGACCTTTGGTTGCAAAGACTGACACTGGGGGAAGGGAAGGAGGGAAGGAAAAAAAGCAGAAGCCAATTTCTTTTTGATGCTACTTTTGCTCTCCAGTAATCCAAAAAGAGAATTTCTGAAGTGTTCTCCCCATTCTGTATGTCATCAGAAAATTGTATGCTTGAGTACATGCTGTGGACGGTTACAATTCAAAGACGTTTCGGAATATGCAGACATGGTATTTATTGTCAGCACAGGAAAAGAAACAGAGCCTAAGTATGTGGGTTTGAGAGAGAGAAAGCTGACAATTCAGTGCCTGCTTTCGGTTGTGGAAGCCTGACTGCAGGAAGATACACAGCTAAACAGCCTAACGGCCTGAGGTACCTACCTCGGGTGTGTTATTATTGTCAACTGGTCCATTGAGGTCTGAACGCTGTTGCTTCCTTGGCTGTTCTAAACCATTGCACATCTATAACAAAAATGAGAAACGATTTCAAATCCCTTTGTCTTCTCAACAGCTTCAAAACAAAGTAGAGATTTCCATGGAAGTCAATGGTGCAAAGATAGAAAACTTTCACCAGACTAAATTACATTCAGAAAATTTTAATAAAAATTCATAAAACATTAACATATGAAACTGTATTTAGCGTCTTCTCCATTATTTTATGATAGTCATTGATCATTAAGCTGTTTCGTGTAGTTATTTACAGGTATTTATATGTAATTATTTATGTGCAATCAATATTCGTTATTGATACTGAAATATGTGATATATTTTGAATTTCCTATTGTAGTTTAGCAAACATGAGATTCATATAAAAATGCTGAGCTGTTTAATAAAAGCTCTACTCTGATGTAAATAATAAGGCATTTCAATTATCATTAAGTAGCAGTTAACACTACTGATTTAAATTTCTACTAAAGGATTTTATTTCAATGCAAATTTTTTCACATCAAATTAAGCCAAATGCTGACACATTCAAATTGTTCAGAAACCAATGTCAGAATTTTTAAATGTGCTCAGTACTGGACAAAATCGAAATAGTCCTAACAGCCACCTCTGATGTGAAAAACTGAGTCGTAGCATTCAATACAGAATTCTCTGTTCACGGGAGATACCTCATGGCATCTCCTTCCTTTTGGGCCAAGCCAACCGATACAACGCTGGCAGCACAGCTTCAGGCTTCTGAAGAAACATAAAAGGGAAAATCAAAAACCTTGCAAAAGGAAAACACTAAGTCTTTTAAACTATCGAACACTCTTTTTCTTCCAAGTTCCAAGATTGTCAGAATTTCTTCTCCAGACTGACACAAATCACTGAACACCAGCACCTAGCCCAGGGAGTGCCCATGTCCTCCCATACGTACCAAGAAAGGGAAGTTTTCATGACTCAGAGTTTCAGTGCTAGAAATCTGGAAAACCAAGGTGATTTCTGGAACAAATTTTTATGCTTTAGAATATTTCACTTTCCTTTTTTATTGATTTCCCCATTGTCGTGGTTTATAAAACCACGGGTAC